TTAGTTATTCTTGGGCTAACAGACTTCTCTAGGTTCACATGGATTGAGTTGTTGAGAGAAAAATCTGAGGTGTTCAACTTAGTTAAATCCTTATGTGTAAGAGACTTAAGAATGAGAAAGATTCCACCATAACTGGAATTCGGAGTGATCATAGAAAAGAGTTTGAAAAGTCTAACCTTGAGAATTTCTTTTTAGAGGAGGGAGTCCAGCAAATGTTTACCAATTACTCCACAACAAAATGGTATAGTTGAGAGGAAAAATCACGTGCTTCAAGCAATGGCTAAGGCCATGCTTCATGGTAAAGGTCTAGCAATGCATTTCTAAGGTGAAGCCATTAAACTGTTGTCATATAGTAAACAGGGTTTACCTTAGACCTAAGATTGAAAAGACACCTTATGATATTTGGAAGGGTAAAAAGCTTACTGTCAAATACTTTTGTGTGTGTGGTAGGAAGTATTATATTCCGAGACATATAGGGAATTTAGGCAAATTTGACTCTAAGAGTGATGAAAGAATTTTTCTAGGATACTCTAGGAACAGTAGAGCCTATTGTGTGTAGAGTTCTCGTACACGAGTTGTGATGGAGTCCATAAATGTTGTGCTTGATGATGCCTTTAATGAGTGAAAGATTGGAATAAGTTAGATCATACTAGTGTAGATCCTATCACAGTGACTAAGCCTAAAGAAAATATCAATTCTCGAACCTCCACAATCACCTAAAAGTTTAGACACTCCAAATAAGGAATCATCTACTAACACTAGTTCCAACTTTCCTACTGAACCATCTCCTAGTAAAACTTCAATACTTCATGTAGAACATTTACCTAGTGATAAATCCAAACCTCTTAAGGAACCTTCATCTAGAGTTAAGTCTAATCATCCTAAAGTCAGCATCATTGGGGATTTAGAAGAATGGATGAGACTATGCAAGAAGGTATTAAATAACTTGACATTTCCTAGTTATGAATCCCAAATTGAGCCTAAAAAGGTCAAAGAAGCCCTTAGTGATGAATGTTTGGGTGAATGCAATGCATGAGGAGCTAAACCAATTTGTGAGAAATAATGTGTGGTGTCTAGTACATAGGCCTGATGATTGTAATGTTATTAGTACTAAGTTTATATTTAAGAATAAGACCGATGATCAATGTACCATAACTAGGAATAAGGCTAGGATAGTAGCCTAGCGATACAACCAGGTTGAAGGTGTTGATTTTAATGAGACATTTGTTCCTGTAGCTCACCTTATTCATTAGAATCCTTCTTATTATTGTCCGTGCCTTAGGGTTCAAGTTATATCAAATGGATGTCAAGAGTGCTTTCTTAAATGGAATACTTCAAGAAGATGTTTATGTTGAACAACCTAAAGGAATATCGACCCTAAGTTTTCATATTATGTTTATAAATTGAATAAAGCTTTATATAATCTTAAACAAGTTCCTAGAACTTGGTATGATAGATTAATTGCATACTTCGTGAAACATGATTTTTCAAGATGAGATGCAGATAAAATTTATTCATAAGACACATTGAAGAAACCATCACCATAGCACAGATTTATGTTGATGATATCATATTTGGTTTCCACTGACTCTCTTGCTCATGAATTCATTGAATGCATGAAGCAAGAATTTGAGATGAACATTGTTGGAGAATGAAGTTACTTTCTTGGTTTTCAAGTAAAGCAGAGTGATGATGGGTTGTTCATATCTCAATCAAAGTACGTCAAAGACCTTGTCAAGAGATTTGTGTTAGATAGCAAGAAACACACTAAAATACTTATGAGCACGAGTGTTAAGTTATGTCATGATCTTACAGGTAAGAGTGTTGATCAAACATTATATATGAGTATGATAGGTA